GGACAGGCTAGAATGGCCCCTCCAAGGACATTCATGCCATAAGTACTGGAACCTGTGAGCCGGTTACACAGCAGCAAGAACTTCGCAGAAATAATTGAAGTTATGAACTTTAAAGTGGAAGATTATCCTGGATCATTCGAGTGGGTCCAATCTAATCGCCTGAGCTCCTAAAAGCAGAGAATTTTCTCCAGCTCACATCAGAAAGATTTGATGGAAGAAGTGGAGGGGATTTGCACTGTGAGATGAGATTTGAAGTGTGGAGGGCACAGGGCACATGAGAAATGTAAGAAGAAATCAGTCATCTCCTGATGACAGGAGGAAAGACCAGCCCTGGCTGATGCAGTCACAAAGTGCAGACTGTGGTCTACAAGTGTGAGGAACTGAATTTGGCCAATAAGCTCAATGAGTTTGAAAACAAATTCACCTCCAGATCTTCCCAGGATTCGGCCTTGTGACACCATGCATTGGCCTTGTGGCAGTCTGGGTGTTGGAGACAGTGAGACTGGCTCAGGATAGAGCAGAGTTCAGAGGTATTGTGAATAGGACTGTTATGTAAGACAACTAACTTGATGGCACGTAACAACAGGAAGTAGGTTAAAAATATAAAAAAATAGACCACTTAAGAGATTAAAGTATGTCTCAGAAAGAGCTAGCTACACATTCATGTTATTTAAAAATATGCATGCAAAGAACAAGGGAATCAGTTTAATGAGTTCAAAATCATTGTCCCAGAGGTAGCATCATCAAGGAAACAATGGAGCAGCAGGATCTGCCTTTTTTCACCATGAAAATTAAATGGCCTTACTTTTTCAACTACATATATTTGTACTTTGATAAAAAACATAATTTACTATATTTCATTATTCTTAGATGTCAGTGGTTTTAAGAGACCTTTATATATATATATGTGTGTGTGTGTGTGTGTGTATCTCTCTCTATATATATATCTATCTCCCAGGAGCAACAATTTTGTAAATCATTACCTAACTTGGGAGGGATTGGGGAACATTATGCTAAGTGAACGAACTCGGTCTCATAAGGACAAATACTGTATGAGACCATTACTGTGGAATATGTAGGAGGATCCAGGATCCAAGGGGAGAAATGGAGGGGAGCAGAGGAGTGAGGATTGGGGGAGGGAGGGTAATCATAAGGTCACACAATTTGATGGGTGAAGGGAGGGGTGGGTTAAGGAAATGACAAAGATCCAGTGTGAAAAACAATGTGTATGGACTTTGTAAGTAAAATAGTATAAAACAAAAATGTGTTATATA